TCATACTTCTGGCTAATCCTGACTACTTTAATCCAACTAGTAAGTGTTTTTATGGCTTGTAAATGACACCGGTTTATCCTAAAAGATAATAAGGTGATGTACAAGAGGCTTCATTGTGAAAACATATATATATTTCTCAGCTTTTGTTTACATTTGAATCAAAACTTTAAGTCAGAATTTGCCTTGGCGTATAAATAATCTCAGGTTTGACTGTATATGTGTGTATAATTATTATTTCTAGACAATAATTTGAAGAATGCTGGAAACTTGTAGCCATTCACTTCCATACAAACAGTTTGAGCTTCTTCTGTGAAACTCAAATGAAGACATTTTGAAGAATGTTGGAAACCTGTAGCCATATTCTATGGAAGTCATTCTATGGACGTCAATGGTTACTGCTTTCCCAAATCCTTAAAATATCTTCTTTCGAGTTCAACAGAAGAAAGAAACTCAAACTGGTTTGCAATGACAAGAATGAATGAATAAATGGAGGATTTTCATTTTTGGATGTACCGTCCCTTTAAAAATGTAACTGCGTAGTTTAAATGACCGTAAAAACACTGTAATGCAGTCCGTTTTAAATGTAAATAAGCTAATTTTGTGATTCTTAAAGGAACAGTTCACCCAAAAATAAAATATACTTTGTATTTTCAGTCAAGTCTGAAATTATTCCCATTCAAATTATTATTTTTGACCAGATATACTATGGGCTTCTCCCAAAAAAAATAAGACATTGATATAGAGGAGGCATCGTTTATTTACATTTAAAGGAAAACTTTGTCAGAATGTGCCTTAGGCTTTAAATAATTTCAGGTTTTGACTGTATATGTGTGTATAATTATTATTTCTAGACAATATTTTGAAGAATGTTGGAAACCTGTAACCATTGACTTCCATTCTATGGAGGTCATTCTTTGGACGTCAATGGTTACTGCTTTCCAACATTCTTTAAAATATCTTCTTTCGAGTTTAACAAAAGAAAGAAACTCAAACTGGTTTGGAATGAAAAGAATGAGTAAACGAATGCAGGATTTTCATTTTTGGGTGTACTGTTCCTTTAAGAATGTAACTGCGTAATTTAAATGACCGTAAAAACGCTGTAATACAGTCCGTTTTAAATGTAAATAAGCTAATTTTGTGGTTCTTAAAGAAACAGTTCACCCAAAAATAAAATAAACTTTGTATTTACAGTCAAGTCTGAAACTATTCCCATTCGAATTATTATTTTTGACCAGAAATACTATGGGCTTCTCCCAAAAAATAAGACATTGATATAGAGGAGGCATCGTTTATTTACATTTGAATGAAAACTTTGTCAGAATGTGCCTTTAATGTGCAGAATGTGCTATAAATAATTTCAGGTTTTGACTGTATATGTGTGTATAATTATTATTTCTAGACAATATTTTGAAGAATGTTGGAAACCTGTAGCCATTCACTTCCATTCTATGGAGGTCATTCTTTGGACGTCAATGGTTACTGCTTTCCAACATTCTTTAAATTATCTTCTTTCGAGTTCAACAGAAGAAAGAAACTCAAACTGGTTTGGAATGAAAAGAATGAGTAAATTTTCATTTTTGGGTGTACTGTTCCTTTAAGAATGTAACTGTGTAATTTATATTACAGTAAAAACACTATAACACATTGTAATAATTGTAAATAAGCTAAATTTGTGATTCTTAAAGGGACAGTTCACTCCAAAATAAAATGTACTTCACATTTACATGCACACAAATAGCTAATGTAGTCAAGTCTGAAATTATTCTCATTCAAATTACTATTGTTGACCAGAAATGCCATGGGCTTCTCCCAAAAAATAAGACAAAGATATACAAGAGGCGTCATTTATTTACATTTGAAACAAAATTTCAAGTCAAAATATTCCTTAGGGTGTTAATAATTTCAGGTTTGACTGTATATGTGTGTATAATTATTATTTCTAGACAATATTTTGAAGAATGTTGGAAACCTGTAACCATTGACTTTCACACAAACCAGTTTGAGTTTCTTCTGTAAAACTCAAAAAAAGATATTTGGAAGAATCGCGAAGAATGCTAAGAACTATCTTCTTTAGAGTTCAACAGATGAAAGAAACTTGCAATGAGAATAAATACATTTTAATTTTTTGGTGTACTGTCTCTTTAAAAATGTAACTGCGATATGCCCACAATTTAAATGACAGTAAAAACACTGTAATGCGGTCAGTTTTAAATGTAAATGGGCTGATTTTGTGATTCTTAAAGGGACGGTTCACTCCTATAATAAAATGTACTTCATATTTACATGCACACAAACTGCTGATACAGTCAAGCCAGAAACTATTCCCATTCAAATGATTATTTTTGACCAGAAGTGCCATGGGAAACAGTCATTGTGGAAAAAAAAAAAAAAAAAAACATTTCTCAGCTTTTATTTACATTCGAACCCAAACTTTAAGTCAGAATTTGCCTTAGGGTATAAATAATTTCAAGTTTGACTGTATATGTGTGTATAATTATTATTTCTAGACAATAGTTTGAAGAATGTTGGAAACCTGTAACCATACAAACCAGTTTGAGTTTCTTTTGTAAAACTCAAAAGAAGATATTTTGAAGAATGTTGGAAAGCTGTAGCCATTGACTTTCATTCTATAGAAGTCAGTAGCTACAGCCTTCTAACATTCTTCAAAATATCTTATTTCATGTTCAACAGACGAAACTCAAGAAACTCAAACTGGTTTGCAGTGTAAATGATGACAGGAGTTTCATTTCTGGGTGTACTGTCCCTTTAAAAATGTAACTGCTATATTAACACAATTTAAATGACACTAAAAACACTGTAATGCAGTCAGTTTTATGTGTAAATAAGCTAATTCTGTAATTCTTAAAGGAACAGTTCACCCAAAAATAAAATTTACTTCGTATTTACAGTCAAGTCTGAAACTATTCCCATTCAATTGACTATTTTTTGGGAGAAGCCCATGGCATTTCTGGTCAAAAATAAGACTACAAATATAGAAGAGGCATCATTGTGTGAAAAAAAAAAAAAAACTTTTCTCAGCTTTTATTTACATTCGACCCAAAACTTTAAGTCAGAATTGTCTTAGGGTATTCATATTTCTGGTTTGACTGTATATGTGTGCATAATTATTATTTCTAGACTATAGTTTGAAGAATGTTGGAAACCTGTAGCCATTCACTTCCATACAAACCAGTTTGAGCTTTTTCTGTGAAAGTCAAAAGAAGACATTTTGAAGAATGTTGGAAAGCTGTAGCCATTCACTTTCATTCTATGGAAGTCAGTAGCTACAGCCTTCTAACATTCTTCAAAATATCTTATTTCGAGTTCAATAGATGAAACTTAAACTGGTTTGCAGTGTAAATGATGACAGGATTTTCATTTCTGGGTGTACTGTCCCTTTAAAAATGTAACGGCGATGTTCACGTAATTCAATTTACAGTAAAACTCTGTAATACAGTCAGTTTTAAATGTAAATGAGCTGATTTTAGAACAGCCATTCCTCTTCAATGATAATGTTGAATAATCCCGTCTTAAAAGCAGCCGCTGTGGATTCAGGATTGAAGCGACCCCTGTGGGTTCTGGAGGTTCTCGCTGACGCGGTTTCTGTGGCTCTTTTCTTCATCAGCGCTGCGTTCCTGTGGATTTGTGCATCTTAAAGGCTCGTACAGACCTTCCACTGTTCCCTTCTCGATCTGTTCGTCAGGTTTGCTGTTACATTTCTACGATTCGTACGTTGTGTTTGATTTTGTTTGCATATTGGAGTAATCTTCAAAGACTCTGTGGGACTGCCGGATGGACGTCTGTAGCGTGTGTATGTGTGCACTTTACTGTTTTCGGTCTGTGTTTGTGGGTTTGTGTGTGCGGCTGTGTATCGTTAACCGTGCACTATACACTGCTGGCTGTGTTTTACAAGCGTTGGCATTAGCGGGTTTCTGCGACTTTGGGCTTTTCTTTTGTGTTTTTTAAGCGTACTCATGTAGCCTTTTTGTATCGGCTGAACTGCAATAATGATTCTACAAGCATTTTTAAGACACGAACGTGCGAGACGGCGTTTCTGCCAAACTTATCCGCCTGTCCAGAGTTTACAAACAGCTGAGCGACTCCTGTGTTTTTATGCGTCTGTATTGTTGTTTTTGTTTTAAATTAAGACTTTAACACTCCTTTCAGTGTTTCGTTTTCGTTTCTTTTTTTTTGAGATTTTACAAAAACAAGAAGTGAAGAGTTTATTTAAATAAAAGTGACATATGCAGCTGTTATTTCAGACCTGTTGTTTGTGTTATTAAGGCTTCCGGACACTCTTTTTGACTGTGGTATAAACAGTAAACAGATCGTTGTCTCGTGGTTGAACTGTTAACCTGTGTTTTGTTTCACTCATGCATTTATTTGAAATCTTTGAGTTCATATCATTTGAATGTGTTTATATTTCACTTTCATTATCATTTGTAATTTATTTCCAGTCACTATTCTTAATTTGCAGTTATTTAAATGTTAGCAGTAGTATATGGAAGATTTTGCATCGTTTGGATTGTTGTTGTTGTTGTTATTTTCTTTGCTACGCTGCTAACCTGTTAATATGAGAGGTAAGTTAAGGTTAAGGTAAGGTTTCCCCTCATAAACATGTCAATGAAATATTGTGTTTTTGCATTGTTTTGAAATTGAACTTCTGATTTGACTTTTAATGTGAATGTTTTGCATTTTTGCTATTAGAAATGATCCTAATCCTCACTACATCTTATAGTAAAGACCATTTAACCAAACAACTCATTTGCATATGATAATATTTAGAGCATATTAATTGTAAATATTGAGTTTGATCATCTTTCATACAAATATTTAAGCACATTTACTCAAATATGTTTTCAGGTTTCATAAAAAAACTGAGAAAATAACGCACTGAAGACAACAAATCACTATATATATATATATAATTAATAAGTATATAATAATTTTTATATTATAATATATTGTAATAAGTATATATATAATTACATATATATATATATATATATATATATATATATATATATATATATATATATATATATATATATATATATATAGTGTATATATATAATGCCATACTTATATATATATATATATATATGTATATGTAATTATATATATATACTTATATGTAATTATATATATACTTATATATATATTTATTTATTTATATATATATATATATATATATATATATATATATAGATGATGTTTAACAGCAAAGCAAATGTTCACAGTATGTCGGATAATATTTGTTCTTCTGGAGAAAGTCTTATTTGTTTTATTTTGTGTCGAATAAAAGGAGTTAAAAGTTTTTTTAAAGCCCATTTTAAGGTCAATATTATTAACCCCTTTAAGCAATTGTTTTTTTCTGATAGTCTACAGAACAAACCATCGTTATACAATAACTTGCCTAATTACCCTAACCTGCCTAGTTACCCTAATATCCTAGTTAACCCTTTAAATTTCTCTTTAAGCTGTATAGAAGTGTCTTGAGGAATATCTAGTCTAATATTATTTACTGTCATTATGGCAAAGATAAAATAAATCAGTTATTAGAGATGAGTTATTAACACTATTATGTTTAGAAATGTGTTGAAGAAATTTGCTCTCCGTTAATCAGAAATTGGGGGATAAAATAAGCGGTGGGTCTAATAATTCACAGGGTTTAATAATTCTTATTGCAATTGTATATATAAATATAAGTATTCTATGTACAGTTTTATTTAAGGTTAGCTAACCGCACAACTCTGGAGTATATGTTAAAATCCCCTGCATAAAATATCAGTTTATGGACATTTATAACATGAGTTTAATAACCTTAATAGACCAATACATGCTCTAAATGTGTTGCTTCTAGATTATGTCATTAATGTTAGCTTGTAAACTCTTATTGTAAACTTTTTCCAAATATAGAGACAGAAACATTTCATATCTTAATTATTTTGGACTGGACAATATATTGCATTTGGAGACTTAAAAAAAAATATTATATGTAAAAATGAAAAATCAAGACGAGCAACAAAATTGAAAAATTTAGGTGACATTTTGTAGGTTGTAATTTATTTTTGCAATATTTAGCTTGAATTTAGTTGTATTATCATTAATTTCTAAATATATTTGGTGACTAAAATATTATTTTAATAAATCTTTTTAATAAATTGTTTTGTTTAAATGCACCAAAATATGCTGCCTATACTCACTGAGAAATGGAGAAAAAGAATCATTTTCTAAATGGGGTGTAATCAATTATGCTGAGCACTGTACACATATTTGTAAACAAATATGATTTCAACTCTGCTGGGCTCCATAATCAATTTGTGTTGGGAGCAGGGGTGGATTTGGAGCCCTAAACAATTCCAGCCATGGATCTTTTTGCACTTTTAATTTATTTAGCTGTTTTTTTCTTATATCACTCAATCGTTTTCTACATGTTATCTTAAAGCAAAATAATAATACCATGTAAATTATCTTGTAAAACGTTTTAAATGATTTGTTTTCTTAAAATGAATTCCAAACTACAAATAATAATTGAACAATGATGTTTATAAAACTAAACCCTCACTGATTTGACTGCTGGACTGCTCCATGATCAAGAGTGTGGGGCATATTTGTGCAGATGTAGGCTAATAATTACATTCAAATAAATTGTTTACACACCATACAAAATATGATTACATAAAATATAATTTATAGGTGTAATTTGTACATTTAGGTACTTATTTGGGGGCTCTAAGCAGCTGCTTACCTCGCTTATTGGTTAAAATTGCACCTGGTTGAGACAACATGAAGGAATTAAGTTAACTTATTACAAATTTAAGTAGATTGAACATAAAACAGTTGTTTCAAAACTCCCTCATGAATTGTTTCATTAGTCTTTTTTTGAACAAACAGCAAACGCCATTTTGCCGTACAGTCAGAAGAAGAGCGATATCGCGTTTATAATAACAGGAACTGTTTACCAAATACGGGTGATCATTCGGCGAGCGCTGCTGAATTATTAATGAGCGATAATAACTGAATGTGTCGCCCGCAGGAGCGCCTCTGCGGACCCGATGACGTCACCGCGAGTGAACGTTGGCGGACTGAACTGCACTGAACGCGTCGCGGAACAAAACAGCATGCGGGATTCGGCGTCCTGAGAGCGGCAGATGAGCGAAACCCACTGAACACCGTGAGTACAAATGTGTTTCAAATGATGTGTGGATTGCAGAGGTGCGTTTCAAGGCAGATTCACCCTCAGCATCAGCATCTCCAGCATCCGGTGTACATCCGAGGCCGTCGCGTTTACCGGTGACGTATCGATAAAGTCCGCGTTTCAACTCTAAACATCTCCGATTTAATCGTAATTATTGATATATATACACAGTCTGTGATCAGATTTTCTTAAAGCCACACACACATCAATAACACGAGCTGATGTGTGGATGATGAACAGATGCTAATGTTAATTTTTAAAGGCCTGATGCTGTGTTATATTAAATGTTACGATCTGCTAAATGCTAATATTAAAATATAAAGAGAAGAATACTGTTTGATTAGCACACATTTATGGAGATTTAATTTATTTATTTATTTAAATTGTTGTTTTTTTATTGTAGCAACCTCGCTAGTGTACTTGTGCTAAATTATATTATAGCTAGCATGTAAAGTATATAGGGCATATGCTAAAGTAATGCCATGGCTAATTGTTTTTATTTTCAGCACCTATAGCTATTAGTACATTGTGTACATTGTAAATGTCATGTTTTATCAATAATATAAGTATTCACATTTTTCATAAAACCTAGTTTTAATGTCATTAGCTGTCTGGTAGTCTACATAATTGATCTAAGTGGTAGTGTCCTGATGTATTGCTTCATAAGCACGTCTGAGATCTTTCAGATGGACGCTCAGTGTTGTGATGCCGTCGTCTCTAGACACTAGGGTTGTCATGACAACAGTCAGACCATCCACATCCGGAAGACAGTGACCAGATGATGATGATGTTGTTGTTGTTTTATCATCACTGCAGGACGAGCTCTGCTTATTGACTTATACGTCAAAGAATATTATATGCAGAATCCATACACTGTAAAACAGTGTTAAACAAAACTGATTTACCCAATGCAGAGCCAAATATGGACAAACACAATAGTTAGGTTAAAAAAAAGTCAAGGTTTAGTTTTGTGCATATGTATCCCAGTGGCATGATTGCATGATTTTAGCACCGATTTTGATCACAGGTGAGAAATCGCAGATGAATGCCTGAAATCACAAGCAAATCGGTGTTCAGTCTTGTAAGTAACAATCACACAATGTGAACTATTAAAGACACGATCTGAGAGAATCGTAGATGAGTTGCCGATGCCGTGAGATATTTGGCATGCTTAATATCTGAAGCTGTCGCGATTTCTGAGACGTAGTTTGAACAAAGTTGTCGGCGATTCTTCCTATTGTAAAGTCATGCAGTGTGAAGCCCCCTGACGCCGATCTATCTTGCAGTGTAAACAAAGCAGCGACGAAACGCCAGCCCAGATAGTCCTGCAGTGTGAAAACGCCTGTGACACGACTACTTTCAAAATCATGCAGTCTGAACTCGGCGTTAGGTTAAAAATAGCGTTTTTTAGAGCAATAGAGCAGTGTTTCCCAACCCTGTTCCTGAAGGCACACCAACAGTACTTATTTTCCACCTCTTCCTATTCAAACACACCTGAATCCACTTTTTAGAATGTCTGAAGGGATGCCAAAACCCAAAATAAATGGGTCAGATAAGCGAGACATCCAAATTGTGTACTTTGGAGTGCCTTTAGGAACAGGGTTGGGAAACACTGCTATAAAAATGGCTATTTATTTTTTTTACCTTACACTGGGTTGAATGTGCTCAAAACTAACCTTGGGGTAATAAAAAAAAATAAAAAAAAAGACTTTTTTTTTATTTTTATTTTTTAAACCTAACTATTGCGTTTGTCTATATTTGGCTCTGCATCGGGTAAAACAAGAAACATTTTTATAGTGTAGACCAGGCCCGGATTGGCTAATCAGTAGCACCGGGAGAATTCCCTGTGGGCCGGTCAGTTTTTTGGTTAGTGTCTCTAGCTGCTTGCACTCTCAGAAGTCGCACTTTTTTCATCTATTTATTTATTTGACCATATCTTCACTCTTTTTATTCATTATTTTGCCGCAGCGCTGCTCTTATTTATTTTCTCGCAGCCCCGTGAGCAAAATGCAGCCTGCAGGTTAACTAACGTTAATGATGATGTAATGTTAACTATCATCATTCGACCCCAAACAGCGAATTCGAATAATTAATATTAATGAAGATTACACCTGCTCAATGAAAATCAGATGATTCACTACATTAATAAATCTGACATAACTTGATCAGAAATCTAAAAAGGGGAGAAAAAGATTAAGCCATCAATAAAAAGTAATACTGTGAGTCTTGCGGGTCACAGTGCAATATTTATTTTGATACTTGTTGCTTTAACGCTATAGTGGACCAGTGGTAAACACTTTGCATTGCTATGCCGTCCGACCCGTGTTCGAATCTCACCTGGAAAATTAATTTTTTATTTTCTATTTATATTGTTAAGACATATAATACTGTTAGGGTTGTTGATCATTTGAAGTTCTAAAGCAGCTGTTTTCTTGAAAAAGACGTGATAGTGTCATTAGAAACTGAATTGAAAATGACCTTATTTTAATATAGTCAGTTGTGAACTGAGGTGGGCCGGTCTGGCTTAAACTCCAGGGCTGAAAATGAGTCCCACTCCGGCCCTGGTGTAGACTTGACAAAATTGCTAGTTTTTATAATATGAGGCTTTAGAAAAGTGTTTAAGAAACTCTTTCTGTGATTCATAGACTGTTTATCTTTATATCAGAGAAAACAGCAGCCGTTTCACTTCTCAATAAGATCATTTAGATCATTTCAGCATTGTTTTACCATCATTGACCTATTTCAATATTTAACATTAGTTTGAGTTGAAGTTGTATTGATTTAGTTGCATCTTTTCTACCATTTGTAATAATTTTTTGCTAATTTCCCTATAGATGTCTTTTTACAGTTCCTATTTCACTTTTATTTAATCTATGGAAGTAGAACTGAGTTAGTAAATTAATCTGAGTGAATGCAAGAAATGCAAAAAGAGTTTTATGCATTTTATTTCCACACTGTTATTCATTCATTCATTTTTGGCTTAGTCCCTTTATTAATCAGGGGCCACCATAGTGGAATGAACCACCAACTTATCCAGCACATGTTTGACGCAGTAGATGCTCTTCCACTCGCCACCCATCTCTGGGAAACATCCATACACACTCATTCACACACATACACTATGGCCGACTTAGCCTGCCCAATTCACCAATATGGCATATGTTTGGACTGAGGAGGAAACCCACGCCTACACGGGAAGAGCATGCAAACTCCACACAGAAACATTATCTGACCCAGCTGAGGTTCGAACCAGTGACCTTCTTGCTGGGAGGTGACAGTGCTACCCACTGCGCCACCGTGTCACCTCTGTTAAATTATTTGTTACTGTTAATTCAGTTATTTGATTTCTTTAACTGCTTCAAGGTTTTTAATCTGTTGTATGAGCTTTTGTGGAACCCATTATTTTTGGTTTAGTTCTTCATATTTGTAGTTGTTTTTATAGTAAAATCATGGAACATGCACAGAAAACAACTGTTACCCATAATGCTGTTCAGGAAGTTACATTAATCAGAGAGTTCATATCTTTAGCACTACCATTTAGATTGGTTATTTACAACCTCTTGTCAATAGTGTATTAATATGCACTCACTGGCCACTTTATAAGGTATACCTGTGAAACTTCTTGTTAACTCAAATGTGTAATCAGCCAATCACATGGCGGCAACTCAATGCATTTAGACATGCAGACATGGTCAAGACGATCTGCTGCAGTTCAAAGCGAGCATCAGAATGGGGAAGAAAGGGGATTTAAGTGACTTTGAGTTGTTGTTGGTGCCAGATGGTCTGCTCTGATGAGTCTCCATTTCTGCTGACACATTCGGATGGTCGGGTCAGAATTTGGCCTCAACAACATGAAAGCATGGATCATCCTGCCTTGTATCAGCGGTTCAGGCTGGTGGTGGTGGTGTAATAGTGTGGCGGAGATGTTCTTTGGGTCCATTAGTACCAACTGAGCATGGTGTCAACGACACAGCCTACCTGAGTATTGCTGTTGACCATGTCCATCCCTTTATGAGCACAGTGTCTCCATCTTCTGATGGCTACTTCCAGCAGGATAACGCACCATGTCATAAAGCTCAATCATCTCAGACTGGTGAACATGACAATAAGTTCACTGTGCTCAAATGGCCTCCACAGTCACCAGAGCTCAATCCAATAGAGCACCTGTGGTGGAACTGGAGATTGGCATCATGGATGTTCAGCCGACAAATCTGCAGCAACTGTGTGATGCTATCATGTCAATATTTAGCAAAATCTCTGAGGAATATTTCCAGTTCCTTGTTGAATATCGATGCCATGAAGGATTAAAGCAGTTCTGAAGGCAAAAGGGGTCCAACCTGGAGCTAGTAAGGTGTACCTAATAAAGTGGCCGGTGTGTGCAGGTTAATTAGATTGCCAATGATGATGTTCATCTTCCTGTTTTGAATTCTTTGCTTTAAATCACATGTTTGTAATATTGTGGTACTCCTTGTATCTGGATGGTTTGATTATATTTAACGAAGGCCTTTTATTTAAATGCTAACTAATAATAACTCTTCGCTCTCTTCTGTTTTGATGGTCAGGGTTGGCTCCTCCCCCTGGTGTGTGCAGTGTTCTGATTGGCTGTGGTCTGCAGATGGCTCAGCTGTGGAGGAGGGCGGTGTCGTTGACTGGGAACGGGTCTGTGGTTGCCATGGCGCCAGGGCCCGGGGTCGTGACGGTGGCCCCTGAGAGTCACAACAGATCAGGGCCAGTTTTGACCCCAGAGACGCCCATTTTCCTCATGACTCCTGCCGCTCAGGGCATCTCGGGCATCTTCACCTGGACGGCCCTGCTGCTCACCTGCCAACAGGTACAGCACACTCATACACCTCCATTACGCACACTTAGGCCCAATCCCAATTCTATTTTTGTACCTCGACTCCTTCCCCATGGCCCTTAAACCCGAGAGTTAAGGGGAAGGGCTTCAAAATTTACCACTAAGAAATAGGACAGCACTACAGCACCTGCACACGTCATCATGTCATCGTGATCTCTTGCTTCATGAGACATCAGACGATCGTGACTGCTGTAGTTATTCCAGTTGCTGTAGTTTTACTCTTGGTTTCGAGTGTGGTCCTGAAAAATATCTATTCACCCCTTTCCCCTTAGCCCTACGCCTTCAAGCTAAAGAGAAATGGGACACCCCTACCCCTTCATGTGAACGTGCAAACTGAGGGGAAGGGCTAAGGTGTAGAATTGGGATTGGCTCTTAATGTCACTGTTGTAAGATTGGGGTTATTTTATCAAAGAAGGGTCTATTTTCTGTCCATGCAAGTAGAAATGAATTGTTCTTCCATTTACTTATTTAATTCAGTTTAATTAGTGCTACATAAAAGAAAAAAAAAGGGTTTTATTATATATTAATCATTAAATCATGTCATGAGAGCAAAGTAAGTGTTCAGTTTTGATTATTTGGAGCTAATAGTGATTAATAGGATTTATTAAATGGAGATTGTACTTATAATATGGTGAATAATTTGTTAAATAAATTTCTTTATATGCATTCTATTGGGTAATAGTAATATTCATACCTGTCAACCCTCTCATGTTTCCCGGGATTCTCCTGTATTTTACAGTTCTATCCCGCTGTCATCCCGTAAAAGAATTTCTCCCATATTTCTCCCGTAATTTCAGTCTTTCTATGAAGGTTGGCAATAAACATTAAAGAGCCGATCCCCCCTATACACAACCCATACTGCCAAATAACCAGGTTATGCTCCTCGCTCTTGAATGTGAGTCTGTTCTGTGCTTTAATTTTATTTAGGCATGAAAACTCTTTGAAATAAATATAAAAAAACGCAGGATGTCTGCAAGGTCTTAAAAAGTCTGAAAATGTCTTAAATATTAAACGCTAATTTTTAGGCCTTTAAGTCTTAAATCTACTAAAATCTTGTGTTGTAGGTCTGAAATCTTTTTAAACGAGTCTTAATTTTCATTTTTTCATGTATAGCTACCCAATCTGGCCATTAACACCCATGCAGTCACTAACAATTAATCTCAATAAAACTTAAAACTTTGTATTTAAAAATAGCATTTAAACACTTTCCTTACAGTAACATTTGCTTAGAAGTTCTTCATGTATTTACTGCTGAGAAAACTGACCTGACCTAAATTTGTTATTATTAAATTACTATTGTAGACTAAAGTAAATGGCAGGTGTGCTTTGTTCTATTCTTGGTAAGGGTTATTGGGTTTGTTAATGGATATATTTGAAAAGTAATAATAAATATTCAAACTAAATTATTATTATTGTATTATTTAATGTATTAATGTTTAATCATTATTCAGTAGGGCGAGTGAAAATCTTTTGTAACTGGAGTGTTCAAAAACAAATCCTTACTTTTTTTTTTCAAAATTTCTTAAAAATGTCTTTAAAAGTTTTAAATTTAACTTGGTAAAATCTTCAGAAACCAGTGGGATTCCCTTTCATTTTCATTACAGGTGTCGTCGCCCCTCCTATGCAATCCTCTAACAGTCATATAGCAGTGCGTGACTGTCAGCTGACGCGCTCCATAGTGATAAATAGACGCCGTTTCCCAAACTGATTCTGTAAAGGCGATTTAATGCAGTGTGAAAGTGGGTTTTGGGTTGTCTTTGAACAGACATACACACATAATTAGTAATAATAATTGTCTGATCTTGGTGTTTTTTTAACACAACAAATTTTGTCCTAAATTAGTTTAAAAAGCCAGGAAAGCAGTCGAATGCCTTCATCATAACATTAGATGTGTGCATTTTTAAAGTGACACCTCTGTTAATTATGTTAATGCAATTAAACAAAAAATCTAAATAAATGAGGTTATTTTGCTGCTCTTTAATCAGAATGTGTGAGTAATACAGTGAAGAAACAGTTATTGAGATTTAATAACTTTGTGATGATGTCATAAATAAATTTATAATCAAGTTTTGAGTAAGTCAGCCATCTCAGTAATACTTTTATCATGGATGACGTCTGTTCCTTGGAAAGAAGGCGGGGCTTGGCGTGATAGAGAAGAAAAGCAAGAGAGAGAAGGAAGTGGGCTCAGGCAGTCATGGAAGATGCAGTAGTTGGTTGTTCATCATGCTTTCATCAGCCGGCGTTGTTTAAACCCGGTAGAGATGGCAAGAGGCGAATGAACTGAAGTTCTGTTTCTTTATAAGAGCTATTCATTTTAATAAGCTGAACTTTGCTAATGTCTACTATCCATTTTTTAATTTGTAAATAATAATAATAAAACATATTACTGACCATTTAACTGTTTATTTACAATGAAACAGCTCCATATTTAGTCATTTGGGGATTTATTTGGGGGATATATAAGAGGTATCCCTTGTTATGGTAGGGTTTTGCCTTATTTTCACTTCAGGTATGCTAATATTGCCTGTAAATATATATGATTATTACATTAAATTATGATATTTCTTGTAAGTTTTAATGTATTTGTTACTGTTGAAGTCTGTTGAATAATATTATTGTGATTTTACTCATTTCCCAGAGATGGGTTGCAGCTGGAAGGGCATCCGCTGCGTTAAAAATGTGCTGGATAAGTTGGCAGTTCATTCCGCTGGTCGCCACAGCGGAATGAACTGCCAACTTATCCAGCACATCTGATTAATAAAGAGACTAGGCCGACAAGAAAATGAATGAATGAATGGTTTTATTCACTTTTTTCTATTAGTTGTGCATTAAACATTGATGCAACACTGCATTACTGCATAATGCTAGTCTGTTTCATCTGAATAATAAAGATTTATAGATGATCATTAACTCTAACATGTATAATAGAGCATTATCTTAAATCTTACTGGATGCTGTGTTAGCTGTGTGCTGGATAGTGTGACTAATAATGCGTAATATATAAATAAATGAAAGGATGACGGGGATGAGCTGTTGCTCTGGCAACAGGTGGCATGACATCATAGAGCAGAGGTTGTTGCTTAGCAACAGTATTTAGAACTGCATGTGTGTGTGTGTGTGTTGTTATAGTTCAGCTTATCTGAACATGTAAAACACACAAAGGATCCACCTGCTCCACTGACACGCATCTGCTTGTTCCAGAGTTGCAGGCACATTTCAAGCATTTTCTATTTACTCATTCATTATTCTTCAGCTTAGTCCCTTCATTCATCAGGGGTCGCCACAGCGGAATGAACCGCCAACTATTCCAGCATTTGTTTTACACAGCGGATGCCCTTCCAGCTGCAACCCAGTACTGAGAAACACCCATACACACTCATTCACACACACACTCATACACAACGGGCAATTTAGTTCATCAATTCCCCTATAGCGCATGTGTTAAGACTGCGGTGGAAATCGGAATCTTACGCCAACACAGGGAAACATGCAAACTCCACACAGAAATGCAGACTGGCCCAGCCGGGGCTCGAATCAGCAACTTTATTGCTGTAAGGTGACAGTGCTAACTACTGAGCCACCTTGTCGCCCTAAGACAAGTTCTCCCCAAGACGTGTTCTTTCCCAGTACTGGGTTGCGGCTGTAAGGGCATCTGCTGTGTAAAACATTTTGGAGTAAATTGAATTTGCAATGCTTTGTTCTCCACTCTCTTCTTTAAAATGGAAATGAAGTATTGTCTTCATAAACTGGATGGAGAGGAAGGAGAGTTCAGCTGTACTAATGCCAAGGTTATTTCAGGAAATTTTTTATACTTTTCTTGTGATACTGCAGACACAAAACACACATTTCTGGCAGTGTGTCAAATGTAAAGGACACACACTTACATAAAAACACTCGCCATGGGAAAGGATGCGAGGCAGGCACTGAAACGGCTTACAGTAGTCTACAGCAGTGGTGCTGTCATGTCCACCACTTTTTGTTATTACCTACTTACTTACTCCCAGGGCCGTTAATATCGAAGTTGGTGTTGGTGTTTCGTAACATCTGATTTTTATGAGGTGGGTTGTTAGCGCAACACTCAATCCCCAATATACCCCTTATACACTACAGCCAATTTAGTTGATCAGTTCCCTTATAGTGCATGTGTTTGGACTGTGGGGGAAATCGGAGCACCCGGAGGAAGCCCACGCCAACATGGGGAGAACATGCAAACTCCACACAGAAATACCAACTGGGTTGCGGCTGTAAGGGCATCTGCTGTGTAAAACATATGCTGGAATAGTTGGTGGTTCATTCCGCTGTGGTGAATTCTTAAATAAAGACTAAGCTGAAGGAAAATGAATGAATAATTCACGTTCTTAAAATCTGATTTTGAACAGTAATAGAAGGTTCATCTTGAAGACACAAACTGTACCTGCAGTTCTAGACTCACTCTTACCGTATGTTCACACTGAAAGCGGCGAGAGCGTCAAAGTAGCTGGAAGTCTTTCAATTTCAATGAGAGACGGTGGCGATAAGCGGCGAGGAGCAGCGCGGCGCGTCTTCACCGGCGTGGCCGTCGAGGAGAGTTGAAATCAAGTCAACTTTATGGTAATGAGCTATGACGCGGTTCGGCAACCAATCAGAATGAAGACGTCCACCGCCTGATAGGAGTTCAGAGAACACAGACCTGTGAACTTTGGTTCCGACAACAGTTGTTCCCAAGGGTTTGATGATTGCGGTCGCCAGATTTCCAATTATTTACAATGTTTTCTTACAGGATCATGCATTAAATAAGTTACTGGCGAGTTACTGATGTGCATTAATGTTATATATTTATCTTAAAAAAGCGGGAATCTCACGCGACGTGACAGACAAAACAGACATATGGACATATATTGGATAAAAAGAGCAAAGCCACACCACACGCAACTTGATCTTCCATTGTTAAATGAATTTGATAAGACGTGTGCAACATTTTCACGCTAGACACATGTTTATGCAGGAATGTAACTGACATGCTTCAATGGCTCCTTTAAATACGAGATCATTGTAGCGAGTTTTGCCGGCAATTTTCCGGAAAGGTCTGTATGTGTGAACAGGTCCTTTTTGAAAATACCGGTAAATTCGTTCTGGCTATTTTCCGGAAAGAGAAGTTGTAACATTACCGGCAATTTGCCGGAATGCTGCGCTGTGTGAATGCAGAAGGAAGATTACCGTAATAAGCGCGTGCACGTCTAGAACGTGCTGACGTGAGACGTCTGCTTTAGCCAATCACAACAGTCAGACGCATTTACGTCCGCGCGGTTTGTGAGGATAAAAGCCTTTGAATATTTTTCCAGACACATTTAGCTGCTAGAAGTTAGTCAGATCACGTTTATATGTTCTTCTTAATGCCAACTGTGTAAATAATCATCGATGAGATGCTTATGATAAGCCGCTGTTTGTTTACCTTCAAGCTTTGCGTGTGCCTGTGAAACAGCCTGTGAGCGCCTGCACACGCACATATTATGAACATCTCGACATGCGAAAGTGATCCTGCGAAAGTTGTTCACAATACTGATCATCCACAGAGTTTGTAATTTAGTCAAATGTTTACAAACACAAGCGCAGCCGTTTAAAGCTCATTTCTGGTTAATGATGTCAGAATTTACCGGTATTTTGGAATGGATGTGTGAATGCTCTTTTCCGGAAAATTTCCGTAACGTCCTCGCCTGTGTGAACAGCGCTTTTTTCAATATACCGGTAAAGTCTTTCCGGAAATTTTCTAGAAATTTACCGGTATCACTGTGTGAAAGGGGCTAGTGTTGTCGCCAGGGCGGCCAGAGCGACCTTGGACGCTCTCGCCGCTTTCAGTGTGAACATACGGTTAGATTTGCATCTATTAGACCTGCAGACACTCTTCAGTCTTCACAACTCTTCAGTCTCAGTGTGTGCTGCATATTAATACAGAGCTGAATGGGTGTAATGATGAATATGTGCATTATTATGATATGATAATGAAACTGTGTGTGTGTGTGTGTCAGATCTACATGCACCTGCGCTACTACAACACACCCAACGAGCAGCGGCACATCGTGCGGATCCTCTTCATCGTGCCCATCTACGCCTTCGACTCGTGGCTCAGTCTGCTGTTCTTCACTAATGAGGAGTATTACGTCTACTTCGACACCGTCAGAGACTGCTATGAAGGTGAGGACACTGCCAGCACTCTTACAGCTCTCATGACATTAAAAGAGTTTCCTGGATGTCAGTATCAGTATTGGTGGTGTTTAGGATATTTAAAATCTAGTGTGAGAAAATTCACAAAACCAATATAAACATGTTTGAAGACATAACCCAGCACTGGGAAACACCCATACACTCTTGCATTCACACTCACACACTACAGACAATTCAGTTCATCAGTTCCCCTATAGCGCATGTGTTTGGTCTGTGGGGGAAACCCACACCAACACGGAGAGAACATGCAAACTCCACAAAGATATAAAAACTGGCCCAGCTGGGACTCGAACCAGCGACCTTTATGCTGTGAGCCCACAGTGCTAACCACTGAGCCAGCGTAATATATAGATATTATATTTGATATATTAGCGCCTATTCAGTTGATGATATTACGAGACTAGAGTCCGGCCTCATTCAACTCAGCATAGCCAGCAGCCAATCACTGATGACCTGTAGACTTACTAACCACTCCCTAGCAACCAATTTCAGCACCCTAGCAACTGTTTCATAGACTATGACTAGCTATTCTAACACATGCTAATAGTTTTAACATGCTACTGACATGCTAATCTTGTTAGAAACATGCTAGTCATGCTAACATCATGCTAATTCATGTTAACAACATGCTAATCCGTGCAAGAAACAAGCTGCTTTATGCTAGAAATGCTAATTCATGGTAGAATCATGCTAATATGCTAATTCATACTAGATTCATGCTAATTTATGCTAGAATCATGCTAGTAACATGCTAATTCATGCTAGAATCATGCTAGTAACATACTAATTAATGCTAGTAACATGCTAATTAATGCTAGAATCATGCTAATTTATGTTAGAATCATGCTAGTAACATGCTAATTCATGCTAGAATCGTGTTACTAACATGCTAAATCATGCTAAAATCATGCTAGTAACATGCTAAATCACGCTAGAATCATGCTAGTAACATGCTAAATCATGCTAGAATCATGCTAGTAACATGCTAAATCATGCTAGTAACATGCTAAATCATGCTAGTAACATGCTAATTCATGCTAGAATCATGCTAATTCATGCTAGAATCATGTTTGTAACATGCTAATTCATGCTTGTAACATGCTAATTCATGCTAGAATCATGCTAATTCATGCTAGTAACATGATAATTAATGCTAGAATCATGCTAATTCATGTTAGAATCATGCTAGTAACATGCTAATTCATGCTAGAATCATGGTAGTAACATGCTAATTCATGTTAGAATCATGCTATCTCATGCTAGTAACATGTTAATTCATGCTAGAATCATGCTAGTAACATGCTAATACATGGTAAAATCATGCTAGTAACATGTTAATTCATGATAGAATCATGCTAGTAACATGCTAATTCATGTTAGAATCATACTATCTCATGCTAGTAACATGTTAATTCATGCTAGAATCATGCTAGTAACATGCTAATACATGGTAAAATCATGCTAGTAACATGCTAATTTGTGCTAAAATCATGCTAGTAACATGCTAATTCTTCCTAGAATCATGCTAACAACATGCTAATTCATGCTAGAATCATGCTAGTAACATGCTTATTCATGCTAATAACATGCTAATTCATGCTAGTAACATGCTTATTCAAGCTAGAGTCATACTAACATGCTATTTACACTTTAAAACCACTTCAAACTTTCAGACTCGGCTTTTAAATCCACCATAAAGTTTGTCCTTAAACTTTAATATCTAGTTGTATTATGATTCTT